TCCCCCGGTCTCTTTCACATGCCCTGGCGTCCTCTCCGACCCATTTCAATCGGATGTCCTCTGGATCGACATCATTTTCCCCATCTCCGAAGACGATCTAGGCTGACCTTGTTCCGCTGATCTCTTTGGCCTGGGCTGCGAGGTAGATCTATGCTAAAGAAAATCTACTGGCCTACTGCCAGTACTGGGTCTAGAGGCGGAGGGTGCGTCATTCTGAGATTGTGGTCTGTCGATCAGCTTGGTCCTGGCTCCGACGCAACAGTGCTGAGCGATCTCCTCTGAAGTAGACCTGCTGCCCGTCTGGGTCCATTGTACAACGCTGATTTAGTATGGTATTGCTTTGCTCTGCATATCTGCTGGGTCCGTGCAACAATGGCTCTGTGCTCAACGGTCTCCACTGGACAAAACCTACTGGGTCCATGGATCGAGGGTGTGCTAATCAGGGATTGGCTGTGTTTCGTTGATCTGCTGGGCAGTGTACTTAGCGATATCCACTGAATTAGACTTATGGGTCTACTGGGTCCTTGGGAAGAGAGTGCTTCACTGAGAGATCCGCGCTTGCTGTGCATATTTCCCACCGATCCGCCAAGGGGGACTGCACCTTCAGTTCTCCTTAAGTGGCGCCTTTCCATGACTTCTGTTTCCAAAATGTATTTTCTAAAAACTATTTTCAAGTTATTAATTTTAGCTATTCAATGTTTTGAATATAAAAAAGAGATAATCACTTCAAAGTTGAATTGTTAGTTTAAAAGAGGTGTAAATATTCATAGATTTTGATGATTTTATGAAGAATTTGTTTATGCCTAAAAGTCATTGATATATTAAGTGTATAATGAAAAAAATATGTCGGATAAATCTATTTATCGTACCTTATCTCTGGGTCTTTTTTCAGCATCCCCACCTTCTTGCAAGCGATGGAATTCGTGTCAAACGTTTGCGTGTATTTTCATCAATATATAAATTTCTAGTGACAATATCCAAAGTGGAAAGATTCTCTTTCATTTCTTTTAAAATTTCCTCAAAAGCACCAGGGCGAAGAATGTGACTCCTTAAAATTAACAAAAGTTTCTTGTTTAGAAAATCTCATGGATTTTCTCCGGCCTCCATTGTTATCAGAATGAGGACGATTCTCGCGAGGAACGATTAAAACTAGTTACATGTGGCCGAACAATACAATACAATACAATACAATACAATACAATACGGACATGTTTTATTATGGTCTGTAAAGGGTACTATTATTTAATTCTTTACAGGCGCGGATCTTGAAATTGTTCAAAGGAAGAGGAAGTAAGAGTTGTTATAACATCCGTTTACATAATTAAACGGCAATTTAATTTGTTCAAAATCTTAATATAAACTCTTATGTCATCTTTTCCAAAATTTTCCTCTACCCATCTTTAGAGTGTGCTGTAAGGCACATAATATATTTGAAGTAGGGGACAAAATAAATCCTATTTTATGTTTATTGTACAAGAAAACAGTATACAAGTAAAATTTTAAAATAGATCATAGTGCCGAAATACGGAATATTTTTGACATTTAAGAGGTAAGTCTGTTATTAAACTTGTGCGATGTGTGTCATAAGATATTACAAAAAATACCAGCGTTACAATCCACTCATATAGATCAGGAAGACTGACAATTGCAGTAAAGACAAACTGATGTCTTTGGAGGATTGTTGAAAACACGTTGAGCTTATGATACAGTGTTTGAAACTGTATCGTGTTCGCTTACCATATAAACTTATATTTAGATACTATAAAAATACATCGGGATTGGTATTCCACGTGGATCATGTAGACTGACAATATTGCAGCAAATACACACAGAGATCTCTTTTGAGGATTGTTGGAAACACGTATTAATCAATGATAGATACTAGTTGTTATTCCTAATAATTTCTATTTAATTATTCATTTGAGGGTTAGGGAACAACATTTTCTTGTCAGATTGCGCGGCTTTATATATAGATACTGGAAAACATGTAGAAACTGCTTGGTAAGTTGCAACACAATGAACTCATTCAAGTCAACTTGCCACACATTAAAGTTAAATATCTTGTTTTATACAATTTATACAAGTAGAAAAAATATGCAAGTATGATATCAAGTTAATTTTGAAGTACCCATACCAGAAAAGCAAAATTTACAACATAAAAAATTAAAAAAAAAAAAAAAGTCAGCTCAGTTGGATATTACGAAAGCCCATTGAGCTCATTTTCGTAGGTAACAAAAATATATTTTTCGCGTTATAACACGAAACTTTCTCGAATAAATGCGTAACTTTCGCGTTATAACGCGAAACTTTCGCGAATAAACACGTATCTTTCGCGTTATAACGCGTAACTTTCGTGTATTACTTTCGTATATTACATGTTACTCGGGAACCTGTGATCTTGACTGACAGATAAAAAACATGAACGCAGAGGGGGACTTCTATGAATTTATAAATGACATTTCTTCAGAAGATGTAAAAGAGAATTGATGCGAGAAATGGATATATTAGTGTTGATTTTGCATTTAATCTCAAAACCCTACTAATTAATTAAATGAATATTCCTTTAAAGATTTTCTTGTTTTTCACTTGTTGAATCCAAGAAATTCTGTAGACTATTTTTTTTCTCAGGA